ACATTTTTTACAATCCAGTGATGCTGCGTGATTCAACAGAAAAGTAGAATGGTAGCTGAAAATGTTGGTTCTTTAAATACTTTCCAAGAAAACCGTAGTAACAGTTGAAAATACAATTTTTACGAGTTGACTCAATAATTATTAGATTCAAATTTTGAGACTCAGTTCAAGCAAGAGGTCTTCTAAGTTCTGTTGTACTGCCGTATTGGAAATGTGACGAGGCGATTTTATACTGAATGAAAATTCAGCTTTGTTATGAAAGTATCTTTAGTTAAACGAAGGAACCGTGCAAAAGGATAGATGCTACCATAATAAAAACATTAGAAGGTAAAATCATTCTCCCAATTTGTCGGCCATGATTTTTTTCTGACGGTTGCAAACATTTCAAAATAATATAAAATTGAAAATAAAATAATGAAAATTGTTGTTGTTTGAGATTAAAATTGAGAATGTGTGTGTTAGCTTGAGTTCGAATTTCAAAATTATATTGCTGGCAAAGTTCAGACTGTTTCTCAATGATTTTACCTTGTAATATTTTTATCATGGATGCTACTGTCTGTAGCCTTTGTTTAAATTTTACAGATTTTTTTCTTTTACGAACCGACTTTACAAAAAGGAGAAGGGTATCAATTCGCCGGAAATTTTTTTTCTTATATATGTTACCGCATAACTTTGGACTCCGTTAATCGATTTCTAGAATTATCTTTTTTAAGGAAAGGTGTTACCCCACAAATGGTCCCATACTTCTTTGGTTTAAATCCCATCATTGGATCATGAAGAAATTAACGATAATCTTAAACTTTTATAAGAGAATTGAAGTCGGCCTTTTTTTGCTCAATAGCTACTTGTTTGCTTAAAAATTCCTTTTTTAACCGACTTCCAAAAAAGGAGGAGGTTATCAGTTCGTCGGAATATTTTTTTTTTTTATTTATTTTTTATTTTATTTTTATTTTTTATGTATGTTACCGCATAACTTTGGACCACGTCAACCGATTTCGATAATTCACGATAATTCTGGTTGAGATCCGATCAGTGGATCATGAGATATATATATATATATATATATTTTTTATATGGGAGTTGAAGTTGGTTTTTTTTTGCTAAAAATTACTAGTTTTATGTTAAAGTGGAATAAAAGTAGTAAGTTCAATTTGTTGCTTTGTAAGTTTCCTTTTATTACTGAGCGAATTTATGCACAATGGTACCCACATATATTAACTTTTGTTGTCGTAAGAGCCTAAACTTTAAGCCCTAATGAGATCGAGATAGTTATAGCAATATATCTATGTACATAAGTACACACCCGAAATGCTCAGAATGAAAAGAGAAATCGACATGGCTTATGTCTGTCTAACCGTCGGAAAAAGATTAGATTTGAAGGGTATTAAAACGTACATGGAATAGTTTGAAATTATTTTGTTCCCTTCTATTTATCGGATTCACATTTTTTACAATCCAGTGATGCTGCGTTTGATGTGGAAGCTGGCAACACAAAGAGTTTAATTTGCGATCGTGATTCAACAGAAAAGTAGAATGGTAGCTGAAAATGTTGGTTGTTTAAATATTTTCCAAGAAAACTGTGGGAACAGTTGAAAATACAATTTTTACGAGTTGACTCAATAACACTGGTCTACAAATTTCAACTTTTTTTCTGCGAATAAGACGGGACCTGGTGTTTCTGAACGGATTTTTCGTGCTGAACACGAATCCGGGGTCAAAAATGTCCCATCACGTCACGTTTTCGTTTTTAAAATCTAACTTCAGATTCGTAATCAGCGACTCTTAATGTAGTTAAGACCTTAGCATCATTCATTTTATATGGTCGTTTAAGATGAAATTCTTTCTGCGATCAATTTTCCCTGGACTCCTAGACACAAATACACCCCCTGATCTAAGGGTGCATGCGATTAATTCGGCATAGGGCTCATTCGAAAGGGCACGATTTAGCCTTTAATTTCTGATATATGCAAAATTTGTACCACGTCAGGGTTCAGCTCTATAATTTTTCGAAAATGGCCAAAAACGCTGTTTTTAGGGGTTTCAACCCCTTTTTTCTCGAAAACATGACGTGATGGGAAGTATTGGACCCCAGATTCGTGTTCAGCACGAAAAATCCGTTCGGAAACACCAGGTCCCGTCTTATTCGCAAAACCCTTGTAGACCAGTGTAATTATTAGATTCAAGTTTTGAGACTCAGTTCAAGCAAGAGGTCTTCTAAGTTCTGTTGTACTGCCGTATTGGAAATGTGACGAGGCGATTTTATACTGAATGAAAATGCAGCTTTGTTATGAAAATATCTTCAATTAAACGAAGGAACCATGCAAAAGGATAGATGCTACCATGATAATAATATTAGCAGGTAAATTCATTCTCTCAATTCGTCGGCCATGATTTTTTTTCTGGCGTTTGCCAACATTTTAAAATCATATAAAATTGAAAAAAAAAAATAAATACATTTTTCAAAATTGTTGTTGTTTGAGATTTGAAATTGAGAATTTGTGTGTGACTTTAAGTTTTGAATTTTAAAATTATATTGTTGGCAAACGTCAGACTGCCTTTCAATCATTTTACCTTGTAATATTTTTATCATGGATGCTAGTCTGTGGCCTTTGTTTCAATTTTAAGGAATTTTTACAAAAAGGAGGAAGGTATCACTTCGCCGGAACATTTTTTTCTTATGTATGTTACCGCATAACTTTGGACCCCGTTAATCAATGTCTAGAATTATTTATTTTTTCACAAAAGGAGAAGGTTATAAACTCGTCGGAAATTTTTTGGTTTTTTATGTATGTTACCGCATAACTTTGGACCCCGTTAATCGATTTCTAGAATTTTTTTTTTAAGCAAATGTGTTACCTCACAGGTGGTGAGTTCTTTGGTTTAAATCTCATAATCGGATCATGAAGAAATTAACGATAATCATAAAGTTTTATGAGAATTTAAGTCGGTCTTTTTTTGCTTAATAACTCCTTCTTTGCTTAAAAATTCCTTCTTTTATGTTATGCATTACCAAAACCAAAACCAAAAATGCAGAGTTACTGTGTTTCGTGAGTATTTGGATTTTTTTTTTGGTTTTTGTCGCACGTTGTAATATGTATGTGTGTATGGAAAGTAACATCACTATTTATTCAACACAAAGTTTTTACATTTCTGCGTGTCGAAACATGTTTTTTTTGTTATTATTTATTTGCTTATGTGACTTAGGTATGTGATATGTAGACGAATTTCGTGTTTGTGAAACAAAATACGGGTTTGCAACGCTCATATTCTCACTTAGACTTTCGGTAAATGCTGCTCGATGAATAAAAGTTAATTTATTTCCAACATGTATGTAAAAATGTTCACATCTTCAAATGATTCACCCTACAAATTAACGCTTGCTACAAATGTAGACTTCCCACCGCCTACGTGAGGTTGCAATCCCGAGCGAATGAAGATTTAAATTAGATAGTTAAAATAGTCGTATATTTAATAGTAGTGCTTATTGCAGTAATATGATGAATTGAAATAAATCATCTCATCGGAAATGATCAAACAGCGAAATATATTTTTATACCCGAGCGCACTTGTGCACTTGTGTATTATTAATTTGTTCGCATAACGGTTGTTTGCAGCGGCCAAAAAGAATCGAGATAGATATAGACAAATATATACATAAATGCTCAGAATGAAAAGAGGAATCGATTAAGCCATGCCTGTCTGCCCGTCCGTTTGTCCATTTGTCCGTCTGTCTGCCCGTGTACACGATAACTAGAGAAAAAGTTGAGATATGTCAGCGAAATTTGGTAAGTAAGTTTCCCTTTTTCCAAGGTAGGTTGGAAATGAAAAGGGGTGACATCGGACAATAACCACGCCTACTTCCAATATAAAGTTAAGGTTCATGTGACTTATATGTAATTCCCAATTGATGGCTGGTTAAAAATTCCACACCTATGGGATGTGACACGCACCCTTTACAAACTCATTTCTTTATAGCCTACTATAAGCACCTACCATAACTATGCCTGCATACCAAATTTAAAGTTCATGCGACTTATGGTTCCGAAGTTATTGCTGATTAAAAAATTTTACCGTCTATGGGAGGTGCCACGCCCCCTTGTCGGATCCCAATTTTTTCAGCCTGTTATAGGCCCAGATTTCATGGCAATACTCTGTCAACATTTTGTTCGATTCTGTCCGGCCGCTTAGGCTGCAACCTGGCACATACATACATACTTCCACAAATACATAGTAGAGATATCTATCATTATCCCAGTGTATAAGAATTTTAGCAACATCTCGTCCATAATGCCACCTTTCGGGTAAATTTTTAGTCCCAATATTTATTTTCAATTGGCTAAATTGTATTCTAAATATGAACCAGATTGGCAAGAAAATGAATTTTTTAGGAATATTCCGACCCTAGCGCCACCTATCGAGCGTATTTTTGGTCAGAATATTTCTTTTCTAGGTGCTGACACATGTTCTAAATATGAACCAGATCGGGCTAGCTATGAAATTGTGAAATCATTTTGTCTCAGCTTTCTGCATTTTTTGGCAACAACAACAAAAATTTTTAAGTTTTTTAAGTCGAGAAATCTTTCAAACAGAAGGTCCAAAAATGTAATTTTTACAAAATAGAAAACGGTTCAACCGTTTGGTCAGGCATCACCGTCATACGAAAGACATTTCATTTTTATATATATAGTTTTCCGAACATTTAGCTAAAATTAAGTGTTGAAACAAAATGAGAAATCAGCATCTCTAAACGCTAATCTCTTACCCTAGTTTACCCCCCCCCCCCCCCCCCCCCCCCCCCCCCCCCCAGATACCGTTATAACTTTCTAACAAAGCTGGAAAACGCCAAATTATGGTGATGTGATATTATATTTATGTTTATACGTATATCATTTTTTATATCCGTGTTCTCAAAGAAGAACTTTATGTAGATCCTTATATAAACTAAAATGTGTCGGTAATATGATGTTATAATTAGAAATATGTGGTTCTTTTATTTCCAGGTTCAAGTCATAATTCTCCGTCGTCGATAATTGCATCAAAATAGCGGCGTCAAACTGCAACGAACAACGCCAGCTGGGCGGCGTGCAGATGGTGGGCCTAGTACCATGCGCACTTCAGTGTTGGCATGGCGCAAAGGCTCCAACGCCAAAGGTGAGCACTGTCAGCGGTGAAGCGCGCAGCAATGCAGCGCCTTATAATTTGCGAACTTGTAACCAGACCACTGCTACAACAAATAAGCCTTTAACATGTGTGAAGTGCAAGGAGAAGCAGCAAATGCAGCAGCAACAACAGCAGCAAACGCAGCAACAACAGCAGCAAACGCAACAACAACAGCCGCAGCAGCAACTGTCAGTGTGTGTACAACAGCAGGGACAAGCCCTACCGCAATTTCAGCCAATTCAACTGCAACAACAGCCACATCAGCATGCGCCACAGCAACAGCTTGCCTCTTTTCAACAAATCAATTGCGTGGCAACTTTAGCGACAGCAAATCATAACATCGGCTGTATTGGTGGGCACTGCATGGCCAGTACAGCAACTCCATCTGCAATGCCAACAACGCTCTTTACCTTGCCTACTTCTTTTACTGTGCCCCCGCCTCCCAAACCTCCGCAGGCTCCAGCACAACTTTTGACAACGACGCAGCTACCTTCAAACATGATTATGCCAATCAGCAATACAACAACAACTTCGACAACCTCAACTACCGCTGTTGTGTCAACAGCGCAGACACAACAATATGCGCCTTCAAATTGGCTATATGGCAATTTCGCTGTAGCGAATACTGGAGGATCAACGGCCACCACAACTGCTGCAATGCTGCCAAGCTTGTGTTCAACAGCAGCAGCGACTATTACGAACGCCCCAATGAATAATCAAATGTTTTTCCTACCCATTAGCTACCAGATGCCTAGCTATACGCAGCTACCAACAGTGGCGGCGGCACCTGCAGCAGCACCCATTATTGGTGCAACATTCAATAGTGCGCCACTCGTGTCAGCACCTATGCCCACTGTAGCATCCACAGCTACGCTAGCGCCAATGCCAGCGCCAGTGCCAGCGCCAGTGCCAGCGCCAGCACTAGCACCTGTGTCGGTGAAGCCAAGTAGCATGCCTAATACGGCTGAACATTCTTGTCCGCATATGCAGTGCCCTACAGCAAATAGTGCAGTGTCATCTCAGATACCGCGTACAGATACCCCGTTGCCACGCATACGTATTTTTGGCGACACTACTGTGAAGGGTATATCTGGCGTATTCGCTGAGCGGTTAAAGAGAATGAAACGTAAAGTACAACCTCTACGTAAAATAACAGCCGAAGCCATATCGGCATACCAAAAGGTAAGTTTTCTCCTACTTACATATGTACACACAAAAAAAAAGGAAGCCTGTAAAATTTGAAAGAAATAGTGTGTGAAAGTTTGACCGCTTGGTTTAAAAAAATAAATAAATCTCAATACCTAATGCGTGCTGTAGTTAATATGCCGCCCACTCCCTATTTCTAGCATAATCTGGAGAAAAATTCCACACATTTTTTTTAAAGGTCATAGCAAGTTGTTTTGTTGTAGACATTCTCTTTCGCCGAATCTTCGCTTTCGTTAGCCGGACTTACGAAGGTCGATCAAAACGTAAGATGTGTGTAGTCGAGTCCGGTGTTTTAGATTATTGTCTTCTTGAAGCATCCAATTATTTGTATTCGGTACATACAGTTTTGCCGCCGACTTTAGAAGACATTTTTCATATCTACAGATTGATCATAAGTGGTGCGTCGAGGTTTTATGTACAGACAGTCAAAGTACCAAATCCTTTTTCAGAAAAGCATCCGTAAATATGGACTTTAGCTTGGTGTGTAACGGACCGGGATAGACCTTTGTAGTCATAAAGTGGGCGGTGCCACGCCCAATTTGTAAAAGTCTACAAAAGTCTTACCCACATATTGTTAAGAGATTGTTGTAAGTATTGACTTGGAGTAAATTAGTCTCGCCAGTTTTTGATATATCGGTGTTTTCGTATTTTTGAAATTTACCGTTATACGGGAAAGGGGTGTCAATTTAGTCAGATTTGAATAATTTGCAACAAATTGATTTTCCGTACCAAGGTTATAAGGTGCACCAATTTTGGCCCAATTTCAAAGATTTTCAACAGATTTCTTAGTTTGACCCTAAGCAAGGCTCGGATCGAGTTTGGTAAGGATTGGTGAAGCGGCTACTTAGATATAGCATTTCATCATAGGTGGGCGGAGTCGTTTTCCAAAAATTTATAATAATATTATTTTTTACGTACTAATTTTCAACAAATTAGATTGAATATTTACTAAAATATATTATTTTTTTGCATTTTTTGAAAATACCGTTATATGGAAAATGGTCGTAGTTAAAGTCCGATTTCGTCCATTTTCAATAGCAGCCTGCCTTGGATAAAGGGCAACCTATATAATTTTCGTGTACACGGACGGACGGACAAACAGATATGGCTTACTTGACTGCCCTTTTCCTTCTGATCATTTATGTATACATTTATCCATATCTATCTCGATTCGTTATACGAACAATATACACTTATGAATTGAATAGGCAATCAGTCACAACTATGCAATGGGAAATCGCATAAAAAGTATTAGTCACCCTGAATTTTTGAGGTATGGATCATATGTATGTCCCTATTATGATTCACGACTTTGAAGATAGTTGAGTTGTAAGTTGTAAATTGGTATTGTGGAACACAACTCAACGTTAAAAACGTAATTCGTAACTGATTACAATTTTTACTTTTAATTATTTGAATATCATTAATATAAAACAATATTATTCAAATACCAAAATGTGTATCGAATTTCCAACCTTTTCAATAGCTACAGCCTACTGAAAACAGTTGCGAACGGCAATAGCAATAAATAGCTGAGTTGTATCAGTTTAGTTGTGAACTATAATAGGGGCCTAAGCATAGGTTTTAAGAGTTGAAATTGTTTGTTAAATGAAAGGCTGCAATGTTAGAAAAAAAGTAAGTGCGCCAGGGCCACACTGGGGAAGTGAAATTTACGTTACGTAATATCTATTTTGTCTCATAACCAATACACATACATACATACATCTGCTTTTGCTTAAGGTTTTATTTTCTGTTTTTTTCTATCTAGATCCCTAGCTCTGCCCCTGTTCGTTCTAATTACATTTATGTTATCTTCATTTTATCTTTATACTGTATCCTTTCTTTTATCTTAATTTTTATCTTTATACTCTGTCGATAACAAAATTGATGACAAATTCAATAAAAATTTCGATAGCAAGATAGAAGAATATATTGGTAGCAAAATCGATTATAAAATCGATAAAAATATCAATAACGATATCGCTAACAAAATCGATAAGTAATTAATTAAAATATCGGTGACAAAACTGTTAAATAATCGATAACACAATCGATAAATAATTGGCCGTGAAAACGATTAAAAAACCAATACAAACATCGAAAAAATCGATAACAAAATCGACAAAAATAACGATAACATAACCGAAAAATTATCGATTATTATGTCGATAAATACCGATAATCCCGAAAATCTCTAAAATCCCAAAGTAGTACCTACATTGAGTCTCTGTGCCTCTATCTAGATATATCCTGTTCTCTCTAATTAACTTTATATTAATTTTTCTTCCTCTATCTTCATCAATACTTTTATCGGTATTCTCAACCTCATCCTCAACCTCATCTTTTTCTTTATATTTATCATTTTCTTAATCTACATATTCCCCTTACCTTTACCCTTATATAAGTAAAGTGCTTAAATTTGCCTTGGTCTTCATTTTTTCCTTTATGCTTACGCATCTTTGTTTTTGTTTTTATTTTCACCTTTGCCTTTATCCTTTTCGTTATCTATGTACGTACTTACCTTTACTTTCATTCTTGTATTGGTCTTTTTCTCAGAGTTATTCTTTAACCTTTTATTAGCAAATTTTTGTTAAATTAATAACATATGTACATTCAAGAAGCACTTGTTTCCATCCCAGCCATTTCCGTTGCATCATTTCCGTGTGCAATTTCCGTTGAATTTGCCAATTTACTCCCAACCAACCAACCACCGCTAAAGAAGTTTCACTTAAAAAAGTTTTGAAAGTGACTGGCTCGGATGGAACACGTTAAAGCGTTTCGAAGGTTTTAAAGTAAGCACTTGAAATATAAAAAGGCAAGAAAGATATACAACTGTTTAATGAAAATATTTATAGTTATGAAGTTTTAGATAAAACCACGAAGTAGTCATTAACAATTACGCAGTTTTACATTTTTGTCACCGGTTGGAAATGGTGAATCAGAGGCAGTTCATCCTGCAATATGATTGAAATCCTTAACTTTCTTCAATGTTATGTCAATGCTTTGGGACGAAGGAAGATCGAGACATTTATTTACCACTTAGAAAATAAAAAATAAAAACTATAAACACTTGATTTAAGTAATAGACTCTGTAAGTTAAAATGCGCGATGCCATTTTTTTTTTTGTGAAGCCCTTAACAATTTTCCATACAAAATACGAGCCATTTAAATATTGTATTTTCACGTACACATATCTACGTATGTATGTGTATATTTTCCAGTTTTCCAGCAACAGCTCATAGCAATAACTAAGTATATTTTGCTGCAAATAATTTTTACATGAATAAACGTGTTCCGGAATTTTATTAAAAATTCTACAAGTTTGTAATCTGCATAATTTGTTGCATGGTACAAGTGGTGTTTGTTACTAAATGACATTGCAACACCTGCAGCATGCTCAACAATTGTTAGCTGGTGTGTTTGTTGTTGGCAGCATGGACGACGCTGTCGAATATGAAAATGCATGAGAACGGATGAAAATGGGAAAACAAGTTAATGCATATCCGAGTAAGATCATCAACACGATTTTTTTACGAACGCGTCAAGTAAATGCCAAGCAAGGCAAAATGGTCAAAGGGAAACAAGTGCCTGGGGAAGCACAAACATTAACATACACGTAGATGCGCTAATACCATCCAATGGATAGCGGAGACCTACCTGTGCGCCTTAGCAATGAAGCAATGGCATGGAAAATGTTTTCAAAATGTAATACCTGTTTGGTTTTTTTTTTGTTACTTGTTGTTGATATTTTTTCATTTTCCACCTTTGTATAGTTTTTTTTTTTGCCTTAGACCGGCCATGCGCTCAATGACTTTTGCATTTCATATGAGAGTAGCAGATAAGAATGACCAACAGTGTTCATTGTTAACGCTAGAAGTTTAGTTAGATGCGGGGAGAAGCTGTAGGGAGCACAAAACAGGCACGAAAAGCACAACCTCGAAAAGATGAAATGAAGAAAAATTTGCTTCAAAAAAGTAAAGGAAAAAAAATCGTGCAAATCTTTGCCCTTAACAGCTTGGCATTTTTCTCGCGTCACTCGGCAATATTTTCTCATTTGCCAGCGAACGGATGCAAAGCAGAAAAAAGGCTTAAAAAAAGACAAAGGCGCCAATGTCCCACCCCAACTACGTAAGGTATCTCGAGATTTAGAAGCTGTCCAGAGTGCAGTGGTAACTCTACTTTCATTTTTTTTCTCATGTGGCTTGGCAATATTTGCTGGACAGGCTATAAGCTATCTCACCGAGATTTAATGTTTTGCTCTCATGGTACTCGCTAAGGTTCTTGACGTGTTCGTGTTGTATGTAGTACATTTGAGATAAGCATATTTTAGAGGTGAATGACAGGCAGCAAAACAGAAAAAAAAAACCTGAAAAATTATTCACATTCACTTTTGTCTTTCAACATCTCCTGCCTATCGCAGAGGCAGCTCATCAACAACTTTGCGAAAATGTCGCTAGTCTTGCATAAATTAAGGAAGCAAGCACAGTTTCTTGTAGGCTATACTCGGCGGATCTTTTTATACTCCAACGAAAAAATGTTGCGACAAGTATAGCGAAATTGTTAGCGAGTTAGATGCAATGAAATGAAAATGTAAGTTGATGACATGACATGCATCTAAGGATGGATAAAGCCACACATATATTTATGTGTTCGTATGTAGCAGCAAAAATATGAAGCAAATAGTTAAGTGGCTACTGGTATACAAATCTGTACCTGTTTTATACAAATGGTTGGAATATTTATTAAAATAAATGAAAGTACTTACCTATCTGAAATAAGTGATAAAGCAACTTACAAAGATCAAAGCGTAGTCGTAGATAATATAGAGACACATATACAAACGCCCCGGGCTGTATTTAGAATTGCTGGTAGCTTATAAGAAGGATTAATGAATTTATTTATCTTAAATCCCCTTCCAATATATGCCGCGCAGCTATGGTTAAATACGAGAGAAATGAAGTAGAGGCCTACAATTG